GCTCCATCCATGTTGTTGCAAATGGTAGGATTTGTTTTCTTCTTATGGCTGAATAATATTCCATTGTGTATATGTACCACATCTTCTTTATCCATTCATCTACTGATGGACACTTAGGTTGCTTCCATTTCTTGGCTATTGTAAATAAAATGCTCTAATAATTTTAAATTTGAATGATATCAGAATTTTATAAAGCATACACACTCAGCAAATACCGTTAATGAACACTGTCCATATATTTTTGTTATTAATCACTTTTGTCCTTATAATTACTTGTGGTTTTGTTCATTTTCAATTACGAGAGTAAAAAAGTGAGCCATATGTCTTAAAATTTACCATAGGTATAACATGTAATATTATACATGTTCCTGATGGATTGAACAGAGAAAATATTTAATCCTAATTTTTAAGAACTGTGCAAAGCTTTTAAATTTTGCTTTATAAATCATCTATGAATTGATATAACTTAGTAAGGCTCAAAGCATAACTAAATAAATACATGAGGGTTCCTATGAAACTAGTATACATTCGATAAAAGTTACAAAGTAAATGTATACAGTAAAAGTAAATTCAGGAAAGAATGTACTAGAAAAAAAGTTACAGTTGACCCATATGGTAGGGATTTCTTTAATCAACAAAATAGATCTCCTAAGGACTTCAGCACCTAAAGTATTTAGCACCAACTTAAGTGAGATATAATCTTTATGCTGTGTAGAAGAGATTCTTAGGAATATCTACTTAAAGTGGCATGCTTTATAATATGAACTTAAAATTATGAAAACTTCCTTTCCTGTATCCTGTAATTCAGATTTTCTCACCAGTTCATCTTGAATCCATCTAATTTGAAAATACAAACATTGGGAGATAATTTGTAAGGGAGGTTAGGCTAGAGGGATATTATTAGTGATACTGAATTGCAAAAGCTTAGTTATGTACTATCCCCATGATCCCACATTCAGCAGTCTACAGGTTGCCTTAAAAAAGAGTCTGTTAGAAAAATACTTCTTGTGGATCTCTATAAAAGTGGATGCTTTACTTTGTTATGTTTAATTTGTGAACTATCTCAATTATTTCTTTAGTTTTTCTCCTTTTTTTATCAAAGTATATTTGACATATTAGTTTCAGGTGTACAACACTGGGATTTAACAATTATATACATTACACAATGCCCACCATAATAAGTATACTTAACCATCTGTTACTGTAATTGTGATATTATTGACTATATTCCCTATGCTGTACTTTCATCCCGTGACTAATTTATTCTATAATTGGAAGTATGTACCTCTTTATCTCCTTCATCTATTTCTCCGATCCCCCTCTATTTATGGAAACCACTGGTCCTTGTGGAATCTAAAAACAAAAACAAAATGAACAAAATAGCAGTAAACTCACAGTCACTGAGAAGTGAGTGGGAAGCGAGTGGTGGTTACTGTGGGGGAGGTGCTGGGATGGGAAGGTGGGAAGGGAGGATAAAGGGACACAAAAACTCCCAATCATAATGTAAGTTAGTCACAAGGATGGTAGTACAGCAGGGAGAATATAGCCAGTGATTCAGTGACATCTTTCCATGTTGACACATAGTAACCGCACTAGAGGGGGTGAGGATTTAAGAATATGGGTAACTGGTGAACCGCTGTGTTGTATACTTAAAACTAATATAAGACTGTGTATCAGCTGTAATTCAATTCAAAAACATAGAAGAGACACTAAAACAATTCCACCCCCAGAAACAATTCTAGAGGACACCACTTGAACCTTCAGCCTTCACCCAGGTCACATCAGTGGACTTCTGGAAGTAGGTAGAATAGGAGTAAAATATGGAGGATGCAGAGAGGATGAGTAGAAAGTACTCCCTGAAGTATCTGCACAGAGAGTAGATGGAGGAATTACAAACCACCAAGAGAGAAAGAGTATTATTGTATTTTCTTCCAAACTGTTAACATGCCTTCTAACCTATGTAAGAAGTATTTTTTCAGAGGAAATAGGAAGTAAATGTCAGTAACTATTACAAACACTAGTCCATAAAAAAAAGATGTTGAAAAACTTAATTGAAAATGTATTTTGTATTCACATATTGCCAGAACATTCGTATAGAAGTAAAAAAAAAATTCACCCCCTCATCTGACCAGTTAAACATCGCTTACATACCTTAAAGTCTGGCAGTGTGTGGCCTACCATCCAAGTGATTAAACATTTTGTTTTGTGTAGACAGATAAGGGGTATATTTATAGCACAAACCTACAAATTTGAGGAAGCTTCTAGGACAAATTAAAATTGAATTTATTCCTTCCTCTATGTTAAATAAATATTCCAGTTTCCCTATAAATTCTATCTGAAAAGTTAAGCATTAAATGCACACAAACTCTGCTTATACTCATTGGTCAAAAAATGTGTTTATACTCATCCGCTTTGTGGCAACAAAATTGTTTTAGAAACAAAAGAATATTTTATGAATGGAACTTTCATTATGGCTGGAAGTATTTGAATCAGTGACCAAAGTTTTCAGGATCTTAGCAAAGCTGAGGGAATGATCTTAAATTATTTAAATAGGGAATATTTACGTGGCCATCAAAGCAATCCCTGGGAATTGAGCATTGGTCAGGTCTGTGTTGCTGTAGTATACTATGTTTCAAGAATATAAACCTATAAAGTGAATTAGCAGACTTAATGTTTTAACAAAAATGTTTTGAGTCACTTAATTTTTCCCTAAATCAATCAAGTGTTTTAGATTAAAAGATAGTTAAACTTCCATGTGAAGGGCAGAAACATTTAGCCATAATTTGGACATTTTTTCAGGCAGTTTATTTAAAGCTTCAAAACAAATATATTAACATTGCCTTCTTTTAAATGAGCAAATAATCAAAATTGGATATATTTTCCAGGAGATGACAATAATTCATATTTATTTTGAGAAGCTTTCCCCTATCTCATTATTTAAAACTTTTAGTTGACCTTTTCTGGTTGAAAAACATCCTTAACACTGATGGAGTTTTTTATGCCTCTTAGTAATACTAATGAGTTGAATAATTTATGAGGTTGTCATGTGCAAAAAGATTTGGTGTGATTTGATATACTTTCAGCCTCTGGTGTTAGACTGTGATTAATAAAAACCTAGAGGCATGTAATTTTTTTCTCTGATGTTTAATGTTCTAATTTTCTTTGTATTGAATGTGTTATTCTGGTGTTTTCTAAGAGTAAAATCTTATACAGGTACAAATTTAATTGATTACCCGGGATTTTATAGATGATATGCTTTTACAAGTATATGCTTCCATAGCAATGGAAGAATATAAGGAAAATATTTTAAAACTCATAAATTCATCTTCTGACCTGCAGGATTTTCTTCCTCAGGGCAAATTACCTAATAAGGAAATGATTGGAAAGGAGCAGGGGTTTTTATATTGTTTATATCTTTAAGCCAAACCTAGACTAGTCAACTTTCGGTGTGTTTCTGGTGCTTTAAGATCATGCTGTCAAGATCTTAATAAGTTTGGTTGTCTTTGTTGACTGTCAATTATCATTTAGGACTCTGTTTTCCTTCCATAAAATTATACTGGAACAATGTTTCATCAAAGCGTAAGGCTGCAGGCTCCCCCATGTCTGTGATCAAAGACATCATCTTAAATCGGTCTGACCAGGCGTCACAGAATAGGGCAGGCTGCTTCAGCCGGAAGAAAAAATACATGGAGAGAAGATGACAAAGTTAATCAGTCATCTCTTTGCAA